TGTATTTAATAAGGGGTTAAGATTAAAATAAAATTTTAGGGTTTAATTTTCAATTATGAGAATTACTAAATGTTATATAATATAAAAAATGAAAAACTTGATTGTAATTTGAACTTAGTGGAGCACTACGTAGCACTATATGGAATCCATTTTCATTTTATATAAACAAACCCTAAATCACCGATACAGAGAGAGAAAAAAGGAAAAAAAGAGAAGAAAATGGAAAGCAAAAACAAAGAGGAAGAAAAATAAGGTAAAACCTAACGCTGCCGCCTTTCTCCACCCTCTCGGTGACGGCGCTAGGTTTATAGAGAGCAAAAGTGGGAGAGAAGAAAAGGGAAAGAGAAGGAAAAAGAAAAGAAAGAAGGAAGAAGAAGAAGCAAAAACGACGAAGTGTCCAGTTGAAATTTGGAGGATCCGACACATATTCCATACTCATACCCATGTCATGTCATGTCCGACATGGGTACTCCAACTACTTCGAAGAGTCCGAGCATCAAAGGACAGTAATATTGATATGTTTCTGAAATAAAACCTTTATAATTGTAGGGACTATAACCTGGAGCCTTGTAACCTGGAGATCTGTCTTTTATGCTGTGCTTCTAGCATAGCCGGCCTAACATATTATGGGTCCTTTCATTTCTTTGGTACTACTGAAGGATAAAAATTTCTGAGAAGTCCTGAGAAAGCATTATCTGCCCATGAATAAAACAGAAAGTGAGTATGCAGTAGGAAAGTCATATTATTGATGGAGAATGTAAAATTCTCTTCAATTGATTCTTCATGAATCAAGCAATACCTGTTAGCTGATTTTCCGATTCTCTAATGAGGCCTCTGCTCGTGTCAATAATGGTAATTGAAGGAATGTGTTCAACTTTGTAGAAATCTTCTCCTCCTTCCTCCTGCACCATTTGAACCCTGCGCTTGAAGGCTTCAGGCATGTTAGCTATCACCAGTTCCCTGATTGTAGTGACAAATTCAATTCCTTCAGGAACCATCTTCAAGTTAACACATTCATCTATTTTTAAATATTGAAGATTAGGCATAGCTCCTTTCTCTATCCTCCAATTCTCCAAGGTAGTTATTCCCTGGACTACAAGAGTTCTAAGTTGGCAGAAACCAGTTGAAGAACAATGAATTTCACTCCCCAGAAATACATCACGACGTAAGACCAAGGAATACAACTTGGGCAGATTCTCCAGAACAGCCATTGGATCTTCCTTAAGTCTGCTGTTTCTTAAGGTTAACATGGTGAGACTTTCAGAGAAACGTCCATGTTCTGGTAGATTTTTTAAACAGCCATTCAAATCCATTTTACGGAGATGGGTATACCCTACCATTTCCCTTAAAAGAGCTAAGTCTTTGTCAGACTTAAAATCATAGCGGATACGGAAAGAAGAGTCCTTGAGACGGTTGGAGTTTCTCCTGAGATAATTGTTGATTGCCTCCAGATTCTCCATCGCCAGAGAGAAAATTGCTGACAGTTTCTGAAGTCGGGTTAATTTGGGGATATCGCTAACATCAGAAACTCGTGTATCAAAGTTTTTCAAAACCTCCAGCTTACTTAAAGTACTCAGCTTCAATTTATCTTTACTCTTGTGAGAAGGAGGAAGATACAAGTGCCTTAAGTTGTTCAGCTTCCATAGGACATCAGGTATAGTCAAACAGACAAAAAAAGGTACACGTAAATCCAGTGTTTGCAGGAATTTCAATTTACCTATAGATGATGGCAGTTTATAAAATTGAGAACCTCGTAAACTCAAATATCTCAAGTGAATTAAGTCCCCAATAGCATTGGACAGTTTTCTACCAAAGTCAAACCTTTCAAGATCTAAAACTCTAAGCAGTTTGAAACCATTGCAAAGCAAGGTCAATGAGTGATGATGTTTTCTGTCAGTATGCCTGGAAAAGAACAATGCTGACCTAACACGATCCAAGTTCTCCTGTTTAAGAGGAAAATGGGTTTCAAAATCAGAATCCACAGTAACGGATAGTCTGCGTGTAACACCGGCTGATGTCCTAGATGATGAAGACCAGGAACCTACTAGTTCCGGTTCTTGTGAAAAAGGAATCCTTTTCAGAAAATTTTCCTCTTTTCCCTTTAACAAGCATAACTCTCTTGTTAGGTCGTGAAGTTGACAAGACTTGAACTTACCAGTTGACTCCTCCACTTGAACTTGAACCATGCACCTTTGCTTCAGTTCATGTAAATAACGTTCAGCCATGTCCATGATGGATTCTTCTTCCTCTAATTGATAAGAATCAGAAAATATGAAGCCTTCAGCAGCCCATAACTGATACAACTTCCGAGTAGATATTTTGTAGTCCTCCGGAAAATTTCCCAAATGCAAAAAACATGGCTTGACTTGATAAGGTAAGTCATGGTAACTTAAAGCTAACACCTCATAAACTCTTCCATTATCTCCAAGACTTCTACCCTTCCTTGAATATGAATTGAAATTTTGGTGCACTGTTTTCCACTCACTTAGTGTAGACTTTGTCATGAGAAGTCCCCCAAGCACAATGATAGCTAACGGCAATCCTCCACACTGTCCAATCATCTCCTTTCCAAGTTTCTCCATATCTATTTGATTTTTTAGATTTGCAACAGAATGAGTTCATGAGCACAGTTAGATGGGTAGTTAAAAAACACGAGATATATTGACCACAGTGGAAGAGAGAATGGTGCAAAAAGCCTGGCTTGACTTGATAAAAATCTAAGTTGACGTGTTCTGAAGAATACCTCCATTAAAAGTATTTTATTTAAAAACTTAACATTTATTTTTTCAGAATATCTCAATTGAAACCTTATTAAATTCATTTATTTTCAGAAGTAGGTAAACTGCACCTGTCTTCTTTAGGCATCTGCTTCTGTCCAATACAGATTGGCTTATATCAAATAGAAGTATCATAAAAATTATTTTTCTTTTCATGTGATATTTGACTAGAAAATGAGCCTAAAAAATAGTTTCCATTATTCTACAACATATTCTATAAAACATTTATAATCCAATCGCTACTTTCTGAACAAGCATCCTATATTATGCAATTTCTATTGGAGTTTCGTCACGCTGTAATATTTTTCAATTGAAAGATATTTTTCTAAATATTAAGTACTCTTAACAGTATCTTTTTAATTCCCAAAACATTTAAATCATTTGTACTTCATAAACAAGTTCTATGGGTTTATTACATGTATATTTTTCATTAATGATGAATGGATAGATGAAACTAAATTGAAGACATATTTGAGACTATTGAAAATATTGGCAAGCTGAATTTTGGTTCATTTTTGACATAACAAGTTCTTATTTATTAATGTTAGTACTCTATACTATAGAGAAATAACATGATTATATTTTAACTCAGAGATAGTTACTTTAGAACAATTATAACTAGTTAATGTAGAAATTAAAAAGCATAAAGAACAAGTTGATCAAGTAATTAAGCACAGAGCACAACAGGACTCCTCTATTCAACTAAGTTTTACCTGTTGTTATCAAGAACACATTTTAACAATTTAAACAAAAGGGGGAACATCTCATTTATTTTATTTTATTTTATTTTTTTATCCTGCGTCGAAGACCCAAAACGACTTTCAAAGGAAACAACTCTTCTAAGATAAAATTCCATTTGTAACTTGAATCTTTTGCTAATCTTGAAAATTTTGACATCTCCATGTGTAAAGATCTCTCACCTTGAATACCATCTTCAGAACATTGCATCTTGGGGTAACCCATGGCTTCATCCTCTTCATTTTCACTTAAGCAAGAGTGGAAGCTGCTTGTACTAGACGTGCTTGATCGTGCATCTTCATCCTCACATTTAAAGACAGGTTTACCTGTACAACCACAACCATCCTGACTTTTATTGACTGATGTGCTCATGAATCTGTAAAGACTTATAAAGTCTAAGATGGTTTGCATGATTTAAACTGCTGTTAGCCTGGATGCAACCTAAGAGCAGAGTGAATCTCTTCAAGGTAAGGACTGCTTTTAATGATTTTACCAACTTTCTAAATAAATAATCTTGTCCCTCTTTAAGCTTTCACATGACATGCCTCAACAATGTAAATTCGCTATATATTGGGATGTGGAACAATCTAGTTTAGGATTCAACATGTGAACATAAAATTGAAAGTGAAGAACACACTCGAGGCATGAGTAAGTTTTAGCAAATGTAAAGAGATAATTAAAGCATATTTAAGCAGATTAAAAATACAAGTCCTAAAATAAGCAGGTAATGAACATAAAAACAATTAAAAAAAAAATTTCATTTATAAAGAACGCATGGAATTAGATGTAATTATGTAAATACTAAATAGAAGTAAAAGAAGTCAAGAAACGAAACCTTTTATAGTGGTTTGATCTACAACATTCATCCAAAATTCACTCCTGCTTCTATTTTCCTACTTGGCCAACAAGAATTAAGTGGTGGATAATAGGTAGATTTAGAGAACCTCAAAAGAATTTTGTAAGGCCGTGAATGGGAATTCAAGAAGTTGTCTGTCATCAAACTGGTGGTTTTCAACAGCTACATCCTAGAACATGATAATCATCCTTGCATAGATACTGGGGCGTTTTGTTGGGAGGACTGGGGAGCATAGGTTTTGTTGCCAGAGCAAAATGGAAATAAAAATAGTAGCACTCTTTTGGAAGTGGGGAATAATTCTCTGATTCTGAAAGTGACTTTCATGAAAAGGAGAAAGAGAGCTTTAATGAAAGATAGAAGGCAAAATTGGCGAAATAGATGTAGAGGTAGGTACTATAGTCAAGAGGTCAAAAACAGGTTCAATCTTTCATATATATCCAACACAAAGAAGGGAGTATGGTTTTCCAAAGCAATGAGCATGGCAAGTGCCAGGCTAGTGTACAGAGAGTGCATTTAGCAGATAAATATTTTGTTATTTCAAACTGTTGTTTTGGAAAAACAGATGTTGCCTTAGGCACTTTTCAGTAGTTGGATAATCTGAGGTTGTAGTAATTTAGTAAAGACTTATCTAAATTATTATTTTTGTGGTTGACTCGCTAATTAACTATTCTATTAGAGAAAAAATGGGAAATGAGAAGTGTAAGATATAATTTGAGGGGTTCACTTCACACATTTGATGGGATAGACACTTGAGCTTATTGATCGTGGGTCCTAGTTTAGTTGATATATTGTCGGCCAGACAAGCTTCTTTAACTATGATTGTAACATGAGAGTGTGCTGCTACGTCTTCAGTGGACTGACCTAATATTAGTGATTGAACCCAGTTAAACAAGTGATGTACAAGACTGGAATGAGCCATTGGAGGTTGGATTAAAAAGGTTCAGAGTCCTTGAAAGGGCATTACTGGTGCTTCGCCGTGATAAGGGGATAAGACATGATGGACACTAGGGCAACAGCCAACAGGGAGGCTGTGCAGTATAAGTTTCTGTCAGACAAAGCTTTTTGAGATTATAAGCCAATAGGTATTATGAAATGTGTGGTTAAAAGGTGGATAAAAGTTGAGGGTTCAATGAAATGTATGGTTAAAAATGAAGTTTCACCGGCTTAAAATCTGAAAAAAGCTTTACCAAACAAGAGCTAAATATATGAATAAGGGTGTGGCGGCTGTGGCCTACCCTAGGGCATCAGGTTAGTAAATAAAGAAAGGTAGCATTGGACGATGGTGGCTGGGATTAGAGCGAGTGATACAACACTGGATGGGGAGAAAGGGAAGAGATATTTCAAAGGCTATTGGCAAGGAAGTGTGGGGATAGGTTGATACTGATATGTGAACTTCATGACAGCCAGAGTATGTATACAACTCCAGAAAAGATAGTCTCCAGTATAAAATAAACTAGGCACATAGAAGGGAAATTGCACTATATGTCCATAATGTTAACAAGTGCAAGTATTTATACCAGCTGTATATATATGGCAGCAAAACAGTGTTGATCAATCAAAAGGATTTAATTGTTTCACTGATTAAAGTAAGATATTTAAGCAAATTATACAGAGTTAGATGATAACGCAATCTAAAAAGGGTTTTTGATTCTAAAACAAATCAGATCAGATACCTGCAATAATTGTACCAGCAAAAGCTTTCTTCAGAAGGAGCTTCCAACTCTCTTTCTCATTCAAGAATCTTTGTTCATAAAGAAAACATGTCGTATCTGTATCAATGTCTCCTGCGATTTCTTTGTTACGCGTTGTGACAATTACTCTGCTACCCAGCTTCCTGTTAGGAAAGGCAGGTCTGAGGCTACGCCAGACATCCTTTTCCCAAATATCATCCAGCACAACCAGACATTTTTTCCTTTTCTGAACTTCAAAAAGCTCCTTGACGAGCTCTGCAATATCTTTCATCGTGTTAATTTGTTCCCTACTTTCTGGTACAAGTTTATTAAGGATCCTTTGCAGAACATCTCCTGGATGCCATTGACGAGATATGGAAGCCCAAGCAACTGCGTGAAAATGACTCCGAACATCAGCGTGATAATAAACCTTTCTGGCCAACGCAGTCTTTCCTATGCCACCCATGCCGACAATGGAGACGACATGATGACATTTACCATCTTCCTTCACCAATTCTGCTACCAATTTCTCAACATCTTCTTCTAATCCAACAAAATCCTCTTCATGATGAGAATAAGATCTTCTTAGCTGTTGGCGTCTCTCAGAACGAGGACTTGAAATTTCTCCTTTAAATATAGAACTTATATGACTAACTCGCAAATCCTTTTCCAGATCAGAGATCCTAGTTTCAATATTCTGGATTTTTGGCCCAAGATGGTGCAAGGATTTAACTTCCTTCCACAGAAAAGCAGATCTTCTTAAAACATTGTGTTCCTTTCTCGATGCAATTTCAACAGAAAAGAATTCTAGACAATCTTCTGCATCATAAGCAACCTCCCTGGTGTCTGCAACCCAATTATGGATCCTCTCATCTTCATCTTGTCTGGCATCTGCAATTTTTGAGATACACTGCAGACGCCTAAGCTTCGTTCGTATTTGCTCAAGGTGGCCTCGAATACCGTGTAAGAATTCGACTTCGTGAATCAGCAACTCACTAATACTGTTGATTACACAGGATACAACAGATTCAGCCATTGAAAATTATGTTCAAGGTCATAAAAAAAAAAAAAAAAAA